GGCCCTGAGTTCAAGTCCCAGGACCAGTATAACACACAAATACACATACAAAAGAAATACTAAGGGCTGGGAAGGTAGCTCAGTGGTAGAGTGCTTGCCTTGCATGCCTGAGGTCCTGGGTTCCACTCCTCATAAGCAAAAAGAAAAAAGCCGGAAGTGGTGCTGTGGCTCAAGTGGTAGAGCGCTAGCCTTGAGCTGAAGAGCTGAGGGACAGTGTCCAGGCCCAGAGTACAGGCCCACGACCGGACCCTCCCCCCAAAAAAAAGATACTAAGAGGTCTGTGTATGTGTGCACGCACACACACACGCACGCGCGCACACACACACACACACACAGAGGATTTCAGGATGTCAGGAAAGCTAATCCCAGAATTACCACAGAAGAATAGTTTTAAAATCAATGCACACTAAAGCAGAGGATTGCAGCTCCAGAAGAGATGTTTCTAATAATAACAGAACTGATGTTTCCCTGTGTGATAATAAGCCGCATTGAGAAAAGGAAAATTGGGATTTGCCTTTTTGTAATATTGCTTTTACAATATTTTTGTAATATTTTTGGTAGTATTCAGGTTTAAATTTAGGACCTCTGCACTCTACCTCTTGAGACACACCTCCAGCCCTAATTTCTGAACAGTATATAGAAAACTATGCCAGTGATTTTTCAAAAAGAAGAATGTTTCAACCTCAGGAAATATAAATGGTTATGTAACAAGGAAAAACAGTTTTAAGAAAATATGGAAGAAATGCAGAATATACTACATGGCTTTGGTGAACACAAAATATAGCCATATTCAGTAAAAATCCTGACATACAGCCAGGTGCCAGTGGTTACATCTGTAATTCTAGTTACCCAGGAGGCTGTGATCTGAAGGATGATGGTTTGAAGCCAGCCTGGACAGAAAAGTCCATGAGACTCCATCTTCAAAATAACCAGTATAAGGCTGGGAAGGTGGCTCAGTGGTAAAGTGCTTGCCTAACATGCATGAGGCCCGGGGTTCAATTCTCAACATCACAAAAACAGAAAAAGCCAGAAGTGGCACTGTGGCTCATTGGTAGAGTGCTAGCCTTGAGCTGAAGAGCTGAGGGACAGTGCCCAGGCCTAGAGTTCAAGCCCCATGACCGACAAAACCAAACCAAACCAAAACAGTATGAAGCAGGGTGTGGCTGAAATGATAGGTAGCTACTAGCTGAGCAAGCAAGCTGAGCACATATAAAACCTTAAGTTCAAACCCAAGTATGAGGGGAAAAAAAAGGAATGACAATGTGTACTTAGTACAAGGCAGCTAAATTCACTTACAGTGAAATGTAGAAAAACAAAGGGGAAAAGAGCAATGGCAAATAAACACATTTAAAAAATCCCTGAAGGTTGATATAATCAGTTTGAAGAGTTCAAAATTCCAGGTGGGGTTTTTGTAGCAGGAATGGATGGACGATAAGGAATGGATGCTGTCTTTTGTTGTAATCTTTATAGGACTAATGTATTTAACTTTTTATACTATATGTAACTATTATTTTGATTAGAGATTGAACTGCATATGCTGCAGAAATATTTGCATTGAAGTCAAAATGGCTATTTCCCAATGTACTATTAATTGTTTCAACACACACAAACTGGGTGTTTCACGTCATTGCTATTTTTCTGTCTGAAAAAAATTAAGCAAGCCGTAACATTTATAATCTATTTCACTCTGACATGTTAAAAACACTGTTTTTATTTTGTTAGCATTGTCATATTTTCCTTTCTTACCACTAAAACTAGTTATGATAGGCTCTCAAATGCTCTCAGCCACTCCTAGGGAACATTTAGGGGGTGTTACTGATATCTATCTATAAGGTAGAAATCAATGACAGTGGACTAGCAAACTCTTAACCACAGATATATCTAGTCCCAAATGTAAACAGCACTGAGGTTGAGAAACTAAGTTCTGTGTCTTTGAGGATTATTTCATCAGAACTCTATACAGAAAGACTGATGATCAGCCAACATCTCACAATTGAGCACTGCTTCAGCTAAATATCTTGGCCCAATGTGGGACACAGTCTGAGTGTGAAATACATCTTTGGGAATATTGAGAATGGTAAAGACAAAGTTATAATAAGTGATAACAACAACAAAGCATGGTGCTTTATACCTCAATAATCTCTTTCATCCATAGTTCCTTGGGCACTTTATAGACTAATAATAACTACTCTGGTCCTCACTACCTTTTATCTCAGGTCCTTAGGCACCTTCACAACACTCTCACAATGTAGGAAGTATTATTATCCCCATTTTATATGTAAGTAAACAGAGGTACAAAAGTTAAGCAACTTGTCCAAAGCCATACAAGTCAGTAATAGCCAACACTCCTGACTCACAGCCTACTAATACTAAGAGAACTGGTATAAAACATGCAGTGATAAATTTATATGGCATAAGTGTTATTCTAGTTCATTCAGTGTATTGTTTTCAAGTTCACAATGTATGTTTAGTACCTCTTCCAGTATGCCTTCTAGTCTCTCAAGACATTTAAGAGAACCAAGACTAGTTTCCTAGCTGATTGATAGGATGGGCTATATTGGTGTCTTTCATGAACCAAGGACACTCCATGCAATGCCAGTTCTTCAAAGAGCATTAAAATATGCCATTATTAAGCTGGCCTGGGCAGAAAAGTCTGTGAGACTCTTCTCCAATAAACTGCTCAGAGAAGCCTGGAAGTGGTATTGTGGCTCAAATGGTACTGTGGCTCAAGTACTATCCTTGGCAAAAGAAGCTCAGGGACCTCTACAGCCCAGACCCAGAGTTCAAACCCTAGGGCCAGCAAAAAGAAGTTTTAGAAAATGTCATTATTGCTGATTTTTACAGTAAAGAAAACTGCTGTTTCAGAGAATTTAAACATATGCTCAAGATATCTCAGCTACTTAACATACGTTTGAATCCAAGTGGACTATATTCCAAAATACCCTCCAAAGACAAAATTCTTTAAGTTAGAAAGTACATGAGTTGCATATATTTAATAATTTAACATTTAATTCTCCACTTCCACCTTTAAAACTTAAGAAAAAAACCCTCAAAACTGTAATTGAGCAATCTCAGGTGGTGCCCTCACATTCCTACCAGCTAGGCAAAGAGCCAATCACTGTTTTAAAACCACCCCCAAGGAAGGCCTTTAAATTTCCAAGGAATTTTCCATTTTCTCGTTTACCAAAATATTTACTCCAACAGCTAGATTAAAAGGCCTGAATTAGGAGAGTTTCTCTCTAGGAGATACAGAGCATATGAATCATTTGGCAGACAATGACGCCACCTACCATGTGCCACCTGGGCAAAACAGGAATTAAGTAGGAAGAAGGATTTGTGTTAGGTAAGCCTGTGACTCCGGGCTCTGTTTGCTTGTTTTAAAAACAAAAATGGAACCCTGACATTACTTGTATATTGCAAAGTCTATTTCCTCTGCTGCCTGTCAGTGGAGCCCACCAACTCTGATCCAGAGATCTTAGGTGACTTTCACCTAGGATTTACGCTTTGGCTCAGAAAATAATGGACAAGTAGAGACTGTGAGCCACTCCAGCTCATCTCAAATCAAGATCCAGGCAGCTTTAGTTCTCTGGCAGGGAGTTTGGCTGCTAAATCCACTATTAGTAAAGAGGCAATGTAGAGATAAGGTTAAGGGTCATACAACAAGTGAGACCAGGAAAGGCATTGTCAGGAGTTTTGACCAGCCTGAGAGCCTAAGGTAATAGTACATTTCTGATAATTCACTGACAATTTTAGCCTTTCAGCTACCTCCTGTCTCCGGGACACTTGTGTTCTGTCTCTCTCAACCTCCCTCCTTCTCTCTCTCTTATAGATACTTTAAAAGGGTTACCAAGTAACCTTTAGTTTATAAGTACAATGCATCTTGATCAGGACCACCAGGCACTCTAGATACCGATCAGGAGGATGTCGCGTTTTGTATCCATTCTGTAATCCCGTCTGCCAAGTCTAGCAGGTCTGGAAAGGGGGGGCAGGAAGAAGATGGCCCGGGTATTTTCCCATCCTGTCTAGCCAGGTCCTGAATCACCACCCCAGGCTGATCGCACTTTCCTTCAACAGTCGGAACTTTCCCCGGAATCACGCGATCTTGGACTTAAAAGGACGAGTGTTGGGAGACGCACTGAGGCGCAGAAGAGCAGCGAGAAGAGACAGAGGGGCGTGGAAAGTGCTCGACTCCCTCCCCGCACCACCGGACGCCACGAGGCTGCGGGCCCGGGAACGCGCGGTCGGACCGCGGGCCGCCGGAGGAGGGCCCCTG